ATTTCCCTTTATATAACCTAGAGTCAAGAATGTGTTTATTTCATAATGGGTGTCACTTCCACTATAATGGGACCTGGGGCAGCTCGAGGTATTGGTCTCAAAGTTGATTCTATAACTGGTTTCAACAAACTGCAATGGAAAACTGGATGTATTTTCCCCAATAGCCGTGAGAGCATTAGCTCAACTGCGATAGGATTGATAATCTTTACAATGGAGAAAGGACCGTTACATTTGGGTCCCAGCTTCCTGGAGGATAGTTTCATTCATAAATAGTTGGTTGAGAGATAGACTTTCTTTTCTATATGAAATGGTTTCTGGGGGGACCACCTCTTATCAGCCTGCTCCTTTTGGATCTTTGTGGCTTTTTCTAAGGCACATTTGACGTTTGCCCAAAGGTTCTGCAATGTGTTTATCCACTTGGTTAGTGTTTGTGAAGAGGGGGGTTCCTGAATTTGTGCATAGGCACAAATTCCCTGCCTATAGCTACTTTAAAGGGAGTTAGACCAGTATTGCTGTGCACTATATTGTTATACGCCACTTTAGCGAAAGGCAGGAGGTCTGCCCAGTTAATTGCTGATAGTTGACATAGCATCTCAAATATTGCTCCACCATTGCATTCACTCGTTCAGAAGCTCCATTTGTATTTGGATGAAAAGTTGAGCTGAGCCTCTGGATGGATCCGATCAGCTTCATGAACTCCCTCCAAATTTTTGCAGTGAACTGAACCGCTCGATCCGATATGATTCTTTTTGGTACTCTGTGGAACTGGTAAATGTTTTTTAAAAAACTCTTCGCCAGTTTCTGGGTGAAGGGGAGATCAGGGCAGGCTATAAAATGAACCTGCTTTGAGAAAAGGTCAATGACAGTTCAAATCAGGGTGTTTCTGCTATTTTCAGGGAGTTTGACGATAAAATCCATTGTGATCTCTTCCCAGGGCTGGGATGGTTCCGCCACCTATTCTAGCAGCCCAGGGGTCTGGTTTTCATGGCGGTACAGCATAGCTCTTAATATAGTTTTCAATGTCCTTTTTCATTCCTGGCCACCAGAATTGCCATCTCGTTAAGTGCAAAGTTTTTACAAATCCAAAGTGGCTGGCTTGCTTAGCATCGTGACTTTGTTGCAGGGCTTGCACCCTGAGGATACTAGGAAGGTACAACTTGGAACCGTTCCATGCTAGTTCATCCCTATAGGTTAACAGCTGTTTGTTGTCTCTGAACCAGGGGTTGGATTTCAGTTTGTTTTTAAGTTATTGGGTTAAGCTGCTGTTAGGGCTGATGGGCTGCTTTCAGCCTTGATGTCTAGTGGTGAGTTGAGAGGCTTTTTGAGGTGAGGGGATGATAGCGTTCACCACCTCCTCCCAACAGCTCTTGTACTGTGACATTCTAGACAAGGTGTCAGCCAGGATGTTCTTCCCCCGGGAATATATTTGAGAGAGAAGTTAAAACAATTGAAATATTGTGCCCATCAAACCTGTTTGGGGGATAATTTGCGTGGGTTTTTTAGTGCTTCGAGGTTCTTACGGTCAGTCCATACTTTAAAGGGTACTTTGCTACTATCTAGGAAGTGACACCAGATTAGCAATGCCCAACACACAGCAAATACCTCCTTTGCCCATACAGCCCAATGCTACTCTGTGTTGGTGAGTTTTCTAGAGGCATATGCACACCCTTGTCATTTTTTTTGAAGAATGGCATCCACTGCAACGTCACTCACATCTGTTTGAATGTTGAGGATGGCTCTCCCGCAAATAACCTTTAGAGTTGCTCAAAGGCTGTTGGCACTCTATAGTCTACTTTAAAGTTTGACTAGAATGGGGTTTTGATTCTCCGTTGCCAGTTTTCAAGAGTTTGGTAATCGGTAAGGCTATTTTCACGAAAGAGGGGATGAATTGCCAGTAAAAGTTAGTGAACCCCAAAAAAACTCTGTAGCTGCTTGTGAGTTCGAGGGGGCTGCCATTCCAAAATGGCTTTGATGTTCCCTGGATCCATCTCCACCCCTTCGCTCGAGATTCGGTAACCTAGGTAGTCCAGGCGTGTTTGATGGAACTCACATTTAGTTTGGCATAAAGGTTTGCTGTTAATAATTTCTTGAGCACCTCGCAAACCAATTTGACATGCTCCTCCATTATCTCTGTAAAGATGAGGATAAACTAGGACCCCCCTTGTACAGGCCAACCCCAGGATTACAATCTCCAATTAGTCAAATTTCTCCTTTAATTTCTTGACCGAATGGCCATGCATTGTCGTCAGGTATTTCCATTCCCCTGACTCATCCTTTCTGGCCAATCTCTTCATTCTATACCTGGGTGTGAGGGATAGAGAGCTGTGGGTAGAGATCAAGGGGAACTCAGCCTTAGCAGCTTTAGGGGAGCTCTTGCAGAGGAAATCTTCCTCTGCACGGAAAGGTCCCAAATGGCTAGAGCTTCCTCATTTATCAGCTGCATGAACACAGCAAGGGCCCCCTGGAGACCAAAGGGCATCACCCTGAACTGGAAACTTCCCAAATCATATGACCCAATGCAATTAAAAGCAGTTTCCCACTCATTTCCCTCCTTAATTCCTACTTGGTAGTTAAGTTTCTCGCAGATCCAGCTTAGTGATTTTCCCCTTGGAGAGGTGAGCTAACATGTCCTTCATCAAGGAAAATGGGTACATGTTCTCTATGCTAACAGCATATAAGCGTTTAAAATCCACGCACAATCTCAGTATCCCATCTTTTTTTTCTTTAAACAACACAGAACCGGCTACGCATGATTTTGCAGGCTAGATAAATCGTCTTGACAGATTATTGTCAATGTATTCCCTTAGTTCATTCATCTCTCTGGGAGTCATGGAATACTCAAATGGTCCCAAATGGCTAGAGCTTCCTCCTACACCGCTGGCCTATCAGCTTTGTCTGCATGGGCTTTCAGTCGTGTCCCAGCCAGTGGGGCTCCATCCCCAGCCTGGGCTGTCACCCGTGTTCAGTAGGGGTTGTGCTGGGATAAGCAGTTGCTCCCCCTTTCTTCTCCATCCTGGGATCATCCCTGAGTCTTCATCATCCTCCCAAAAGAATCAGGTGGGTGGTTGGGGCTCAGGACCCCAAGGATCACTCCTCAATAGCCCTCTATCTTAGAGCAGTAAAAAAAAGTTTTAGGAGAATTGGTTTAATGTCAAGGTTCCGATGAATGAAACCAAATACATCAGAACTCCAAGACTTGAAGCTTCCTCAAAGCACATGTTTATTGGATACATAATATCAGCACGGTCAAAAGTGAAACCAACTCTGAAATTCTCCTAGAGATTCAATGTAACTAAAAGTAACAATTCCCTCCCCTCTACTATGCTGTAGATCATACGACCCAATGAAAGTAATTGGCGGGCTTTTTAATTCGTCGTTGCTCCTCCTTCCAGCAGGAATGACCTTGGTTCCCACAGGACCATTCTGTGTTTTGACTATCAATACTTTCATTTTCCTTCCCGTCTGCCCCCCCAATCTATGTGGCAACTATGATGGCTTTAGCCAGGCTGAATGTTTTTTTTAAAGCAACAAAATAATAAACTCCACTCTTAATTAAGAAACAATGTCAAGGCTGGGGGAGGCTGAATTATGGAAGAAATGAATGATGTAGACATGCTGAAGGCTAGGTATATATTTAAGAGAAAAAGCAACATAACAGAGACTGTGGGGTTAACCACATATAATGCAAGATATTTGTAACTGGCATTTTATGAGGTATGTGAGAAACAAATTATGTTTTGGATCATTATCTTGCTGAAATATCCATTCCCTTTTCAGATTCAGTTTCTTTACTGAGTGGACATTATTTACTTCTTTGTTTTTAAATTTATATCTTGTCCAATTTTAAACTATTCTGGATGGCAATAAATGGAAATACTAAAAATAAGGAAAAAATACAGCAGACAAAAATGAGAAGTAAAGATAAGAAGGATGACCATAACAAAAATACAATGAAAACAAACCTGGATAAGAATAAAATGAAACAAAACCATAAAATCCAAAGGGGGCTTTACTTTACCCTTCAAGGTCTTTTAAAAGAAGATCAGGGTTTATTGATATTTAGCCAAATCCATTCTTCCTTTCAGAATTTCCTGTGCTATTGTCTGTCATACAACCACAAGTATAACTAAACCCTCTCTATTTTTTACCAGCTGGCATTGGTTTTTTCTTCTTCAAATACATCATAGAGCCATGGAAAAGATTTCCTTCTGATAACTTTACATATGTACATTATTGTTGTTTAGTAAGTAATGTTGTACTGGGATTGAACATATATCAGCTAAAATTTTTGGAAAGTCATTTAGAATGATCTATGAGCTCTGTTTTGCAGACCTAACCACTTTTGAATCTCCAATTTTGGTGGAGTTTTTTCTTGGTTTCAAACTAATGTCCAACAGTTAATAAAGTAATTAAAACTGAAAAGAATTTGGATAGTTCATGAAGACAATTATGAAGTATTACATGAAAAAAAGGTCAAAGGTTTTGGAACAGCCCTTTTATCTTCAAACTATAAGATTATTGAACATCTATGAGACGATCTCAAACATGCAGTGGCAGGCAAGGAAGCCTAAGAAAATTTCTTAGCTTCTGCAAGAAACATAGGGAAAAATTGGCCCAACCCCCCAAAAAGAAAAATTCTTAGGTTTGGAAGCTCTAATTACAGTTGTTTGGAAGCTCTAATTACAACTAAAAAAAATATTACAAAGTACCAACTGAAAAGGTGTCCATAGTTCAAAATCTGTCATATTTTCAATTTTTAATTGGAAATTGTATATAACAAAAAATACTATACTAAGTACGCATTCATGTTTGCAGAAAAGTATATTTAACTTTGTACCAAGCAAATGTTGAGTCAGTTTTCTGTTTATTTAAGGATTCATTGAAATGTATACTTTAACAGGCTTGCCTGAAATTTTGTATGCAACTATGCTTAAGAACTTTGCTTTTATATATACTTATTTTTCATTGCTTTGAAACAAAATGTAGTAAAATGTATTTACCTGCTTGTAAAAATCAGTAGAAGGAGATGACCTGGACCTTTCATGTTTATACTGAGTTTTCTCAAGTTGTTCAAAGCCAGCATCAAGGATGTTATCAGCTGAATGGCACTTTCCAGAACTACAGCTTTCTATAGGTTTTCTCTGTTCTTTCCAGGAAGCCTGGTATTCTGCAAATGTTTCTAACCTCTGAGGTTGTCTTGATTTAGTGATGTCGCCACTGTAATGTACAGTTTCACTAGATCTATCAGATGCACAAAGTACATTCTCAACTCCGAAAGAAGCTGACCGCGTTCTCTTTTTGTACCACGATCCTCCAGATTCAATTTCATTAGAATTTCTATGAAGAGTAGCAAGCTCTACTTCTGAATGAAAGTAGGATTCACATCTCTGTGAAGATTTTTGACAGACTGGCTTACTAGTTTCTTCAAAAAACTTCCATTTATCTGCAAAAGTTTCCAAAACTTCCTCTGATGTAGTTGGACGATGGTGTGTTTGGCAGTTATCATTCCACATACCCACTTCATTTATTTTCTCAGGTTCAGAATAAGATTTTAATTTTTGTTCTGTAGTAAATCTCTTCCTAGTACCAATACGTGAAAGATGATGAGCATCATTACTCAGTGATATCTGTCTAGAAGACTGCCTAAGTTCAGGAAAACCTAATTCATCTTTAGAAACAAAAGCCAACGGAGTAGTATTATACATATTTATCTTTCGGTCTGGAAGATTTCTCTTGGGTTCTAAGTCTCTGAGAAGTGGCTAAGACTCTGGTTTGGACCTCTTTCAGATTATCTTTGTACATGTGAGAATAACAACTTGTGATAAACAGTGTCTTTTCTTGAGGATCATGCTTCCAGTTCTCAGCACAGTCCTTTTCCTCAGTTGGCTCTACTAAGGCCGCTGTGTTTTTGCTTTTTTGGAGTTTTGCTCTCTTCATTTGAATTTCATTTCTCAGTGTGGTAGCAAAACGATCACTCCTTCGTGCATTTTTGCTTAGGTGAACATCAAATCCTGTCTGTTTATTAATTCCAATTTCGGCAGCAACATTAACTTGCTTTTTCTCTTCCTGAGCTAAAGTATGCAACATTGGAGTCTTTGGAGGAGAAATATGATAGTTCTTCTCCTGATTCCATTTGAAATCTTTTTGGGCTATTTTAGTGTCAGATACCTGAAAATACTCTTGCCCATCCTTATAATCATGATGACTACTGAGATTTTCTTCAAATGTCTTGTTCTGACCCAATTTCTCAGGGTAATTTACCTTCCTAGAATCTTCTAGTACAATAGCCTTAATATTCTCTCCTTTATTAACTACACAATGAGCTCCCTTTTCACATATATCCAGAGAAGTAATATGCTGAGGTAGAGAATACTTAGGATTTTGGCTCATGGTTATGGCAGGATTCTCACTTGACACAGAAGCAGCAAGATTTCCTGTCCCAGAATTCCTACGTTCATTTTTATATTGTAATGGTTTTGAGATTCCCTGAGCAGGCTGCTGCCTCACTTTTGCACAGTAATAATGCTTTAGTCCAGGGTTTTCCTCAGAACTCATGTCAGAAACTGCAGTGGTGGTATTACTGGGAATTCTGGTTTGGTTTAGATGACAGTTATGTTTATCAGAAGGCCTTTCCCTAATGTCACTATAAGGAGAGAGCCATTTTGGCTCTTTAGATGATGCAGAGGCTTTTGTATTGTGAAAGAAACTATATTCATCACTATACTGACGTTGATGTTGATGGTGCTGAGACTCATAAACAGACTGGGCAAATCGAACATCAGTACTAGACAGAGAAGAATGCAGCCTCTTAGCACTTCCCATATTATTGTTTATCCTGTCACCTGGGGAAGAGAAACCATAATCTGGAATAAAATCAGGTCTTTGTATTGGGCTGCTTCCTCGTCTTCTGTGTGAGGTCTTGACAACTGAGTTGATCATTAGCTTTTGTTCTTCAGCAGCTTCAGCACTCCAGTCATTTCTGATTGGTGTTCTATGTAGGACTTCAAAATGCTGGGGGCTCTGAATGCCTTCTGAATATAGAGGTGTATGATCTCTATCATGACTTTTGGTAGCAGCAAAGCTATCACTACGCAGAGGGGGTGGGGGAGGTGGAGGGGAAGCAGACTTTTTCCCTTCAGGGACATACCATACAGGTACAAAATTAGTTCTTCCAGCCCCAGAATAGAGTGAATTAGTATGGACTTCCAGTCGCAAACTTAGGTTGTTTTCATATTGTGGGGGAGTTGCAAAGGAGTTAACTTTTTCTTCAGAACTTCCATTATCACTTAGAAACGAAGCGGTCTTGCTATTTCCTTGTTTTGGAGTTTCCCAGTGACCCATTTTATACATCACATTCTCTGTTGACATAGCATCTACATTAGACAATGTGTGATCAGGTGTACTGGAGCTAGTAGAAAAAGAACCATATGCAGAATCTCTTTTGCTGGGATTCCTCAGATGATCAATGCTGCTATTGGACTTTGCAGAGGAAATCTGACCATACTGATATGTTTGGGGTGTGTGATCCCTGATATCCATGCTTCCCACAGAGCTGAACTGGCCTGAGGTATGATGTAGATTTGATTGATCCCATGAATTTAAAAGATCAAAGGAACTGCAACAAGTAAAACAAACAGACCTCCATTAATATAATACATACACAAAACCATCATTACAATTACTTACAGCAATATTTTATGTATTAGAGCTGTATATTAAAACCATAATGTCATTTTTTAAAAAACTGCAAAGTGTGAAAAAGGCTTTAGTGAAGACTACAGCAAGCCCATGGTTGTGCCTATCAATTCCCTGCTTGATTGACCACTGTCTCAAGCTAATTGATATGTTCTTAGTATGTTAGATAATACATTTTTAAAAGTTTTCTCTCACTTCTGTCTTACTAAAAATCAGCACAGACAGAATCCACAAGTGAATTAATTTTATTCAAAAAGAATTTCATAGTATTTCTGAAAAAGACGCAATATAACAGTAAAAAAATAATTAGAAAAAAAATCCCACAGAGTTCTTAAAGGTTTATTTCTACCTAACTGGTATATCATTGCAGCCTTAGATAGTTGTCAAAATATAAATTAGGAAACAGAATATTTTATTTAATAATATAAACTTAACCAACCAGCATTATAGTGTTAATAATGCTAAATGTATTTCTAAATTCATTACAAATTTGAATATTTTATATTATGGGTTTTTGTGTTGTAATTAAATCATAGTATTATGAATGATTGAAAAAAAATCATATCTTAATTAAGGTACTTCTTTTTTAAGCGCTGGAAGAATTTTCACAGAAATAATTATTACTGTAGACTTTTCAATTATTAAAAAGGCAATGGTATGCAATACCTATTTCTCATCAAGGAAATTACACAGTATATAGAAAAGTAATTACAGATTTATTCTTTTAAAAGATGCCAGAGAAGAATACACATGTATAATTTTAAGAAGGACAGCCTTCTTAATTATACACATGTATAATTTTAAGAGACTGGACAGCCATTTGTCCGAAATGGTGTAGGGTTTCCTGCCCGAGCAGGGGGTTGGACTAGATGACCTCCAAGGTCCCTTCCAACTTTACTATTATTATTATTATTATTATTATTATTATTATTATTATTATTGTTATTGTTATTGTTATTGTTATTGTTATTATTATTATTATAAGGTACCCTGGAACAGCAATTTCTATTTCTTCCATTAAAGGCTGCTGGAAGAAGTTATTTGGTGCAATTAGCTGCCCGGATTTGAAATGATTATAAATTCTGGTACCAGTTGTAGGAAAGAAAAAAAAATCACTAGCCATCACAACTTGCAGGTATTATTTTTCCTTCTTCACAATGAAAAAACATTCTGAATTAATAACTCTTGGGTATATAATTTACTGATCTTTTTAATAACAGAGCTTGCTTTGTACAATAAGCCCAACAGGACAACACAGTACATTGCTGGTAGTTTAAAGTTAATAATAAAATAAGACAAGCAATTATTTTCTTACCATTTGAGCCTGCTGTTTGTACGTTTCAACAAGAACTTACCTTGAATGATACTGAGAGGGCCATGAAGCACAGACATTGGTGGAGGAGAGTTGTGACACAGCTGTTTCAAGTTGATTCTCAGTGAATTTGGTAGCATGCCAGGAATGAGGCCTGCAGGCTAGATTGTTTTTTCTGGAATGAGAAAAGTGAAGCAAATACATTTATTGTATATGGAAATCACACTGTGGAAAACAACCAAAGACGTAGTTCACAGATGCAGTAAAGAGGACTGCATTACAGAACATTTTTTTAAACAAGTCACCTCTTAGAAGAATCCAGCTTTTGTTTTAAATGACACTCCAAAGCAAGCTGAAATATTTTTTTAAGAGCAGGTAAATCAAATTCAAAACAATTAAACCTTGTGTACAAGAAAGAAAGTACAAAAAAAGTACTCAGACATTCCTCTTATTTGAACCTCAGAATAAAATAGGTGTGGTTTGTTAGCTATAGGAAAAGCTAAACTTTGTTACAGATGCAAATGCCTGCTGTTTACAGAATAAAGCATCACCTTGAAAAAGAGAATTTACCCCACATTCTACAGTTGTAAAACCCCACAGCTGAAGACCAGAAGCTTGTCTCTTTGGTTTTATAACCCATTTGCTTTCTTATTCAGGTGTACAAAAAATGTACGAAACAGCAGGCTTGAAGGAGCCTCTTATGCCTTCTTGACTTTTGCTGCTCCAGAGAGTGGGGGAGGGGGTTGAGCCCAGTTGCTTCAAAATTTTACATAACCAGGAATGGATCTCCTAAAGATCCTCAAATCCTATGTAACTTCCTTCATGAAGCTGTCTCCTGTCTACCAATCTAGCAATAATTATTGTGCTGATCACTTCATGATCAAATGATGATGATGATGATGATAATAATGATAATAATAATAATTGATGGAAGGGACCTTGGAGACCTTCTAGTCCAACCCACTGATGCATGAAAAGTCCCAAAGGTGCTTTTCCAAAAGGCAACTGGACTTTGTGTTTTTTCTTTTGAAATCATTACACTTCTCATCCAAGAAGCTTTTCAGAAGAAAAACATTTAAAAAAAAAAATCCAAAAATTGCCTTTGGGAAAAGCACTATTGGGAAACCATGACCTGGATAATTAAGAATCTCCATAGACATTCCACTACAAAAGATTAACTTTTACATTTGCTTATTATTATTTAATGTATAACTCACTCCTCCCCCACAGGAGCTCATAGTGTCCTAGTAATCTCCTTTCATCTTACTTTCAGATCAGCAGCCTTGTGAAATAGGGTAGGCTGAAAAAAAGTGACTTTCTTTATCATGTGAGTTTTCATGGATAAGAATAGACTAAAAACCTGTGTCTCCTGGCCCTTGTTCTATAGCTATCTACTACATCACAATAATTCTAGTGGCTTGTTTATTTGTATGGGATGTAGCCCAGTTATAGAATATTTTATTTCTGGATGAATTTGGGTTAAACTCTTGTATCCCAGGTAAGGCTATAAAGTGAAACATGTCTGCCACTGACAAACAACTGTCAAATGCAAATCTTTCCATGCAGAGGCAAAGCCTCTATCAAACTGTTTATCAAATCATTAGGAAACACCACAAGCTTTCTCTTAAACCCATTCAGGTCTATTAGTTACTCTGGACAAATTTTATTATTTTTATCCTACCTTTATTATTTTTATAAATGTTTATAATATTCCTTCTTCCTCCTATTTTCCCCATATCAACAACCCTGTGAGGTAAGTTGAGCTGAGAGAGAGATTGGCCCAAAGTCACCCAGCTGACTTTCATACCTAAGACAGGACTAAAATTCACTCTCTCCTCTAGCCTGATGCGTTAATGACCAGGGAGGAGGGCAACACCAGGAAGCTGAAAAAAAAAAAAAACCACAGAGTGGTTGTGACTCACAGTCACCTGATTAAATGATAAAGCACTGGTGGTAATGTCTTCCATGTTCAGATCATGTCACTACTTCCCTGAGGGGAAAAAAAAAACCCCACCAGATCTACAGTATGACCTAATGTGCATGTTAGGCCATCAATAACATGGTTAGATTGATGTTTATAATATTCAATTTCATTATTATCTTCAATCAGTTATTGATTTTGTGGGTCTTTCTTATATTAAGTATTTTTTAAAAAAAAATGCCAGGGAATGCTCTACTACATTTTGATCTATAAAGCCTTCCTTACCATTCTTTTCTAGAGAAAAATAATATTGCTACTTAATTTATATTCCTGAACATATTCAGAAGCCTCAAATCATATATTTTCCACAACAGATGCTATTTTGTGAATGCATGCATTTAACAAAAGTCAATCTAAAATGAACATTTAATTCCTATATTGTTAAGACTCTTAATTTGCATAAGCTCAAGGGCACATGCACATACCAAGCTATTATTGTTTTAAATCCCATAGTGCTGCTTTGTTAACCAGAAACAGATGTATGACTTTACTTCACAATGCAATTTATAAGGCAATATAATACCTTGACAGCTTTTTGATATCTTATGTCGAATTTTCTGTGAGACAGAATGGATATTCATGGCTGTGTTCACAGGATCAGATTTCATTTAAATGAATACCATCAAAAAAGGAGTTTTTTTAATAAGGACATTTTTGTTTTGTGACTTAAATGTACATTATTTAAAGGCTAATTTCTTTGAATATCCATTGGAATGTGAAACTGCAAGCAGTAACTTTTTAAAGTTTTAACATAAAACCTTTAACTTAAAGAAAGTTGAAGCAGCAAATTACTTTTCTGATGAAATTACTTTCATTAAGGAATCAACTTTAACTTTCTATAGGTTTTGCACCTCTTTGAGTTGACCAGAAATGGGTAGCAAATAAATATAATGGAACACTGTTATTTAACTACAACTGTTCACAATGAAGTAGCAATAACATTACTGCTATGAAAAAAATAAAGAGCACTTTTTCCTCTAGTCATTTGCATTTTAGAAATACAGCCTTTAGAAATACACTTTGAACTAAGCTAAAGTGATTTATGGTATGAACCTGAAGTTGAAAGGAAGGGAAATTATCGCAACAATGAAATGAGTAAGACAATGAACTGGAACATAAATATAATTTAACTTTAGAAGAGAAGTAAAAAAAGACAGTAACAGCTGGTTTTATGATTCAAAATTAGCCAAAATTAAAGAATAGCAATTGTAAGGGCATCATTCACCCCCTACTGATGAATGGGCCACTTTTTTGAGTAGTATTGCTTAACTTCACTGGAAAGACTAAGGTACACCTGGGTGCATTGTGTGCTGGGAAAGCAAAAAGCAAACACATTGTATATCATTGATTTATACATAGCTTTACCCTTATTTATTTCCTAGGACCAATTTGCACAACAAAGAAAAGTTTGATTGCCAAATATATGCCTTTAAAACAACAAATATGGAGCCTTGATATTTCATTCAGTAATATTAAGAATCTATGACAGCATTAGAAATTAACATAATTTTCATTTGGGGAGATAGTTTTATTAATAAAATAATTTCGCAGAGGATCTGTATATTATAATTGCTATTAAATCAGTATAGATTTATTGACTTCCAGTTTTGTCAGCCGACTAGACGGATGGAAGAAGCCGGAGCTCTGGCTTCTCAGTCCGATTTTACTTTGCCCAGCAACCCTAAAGAGTCAGAAAGTTGCCCTATCATGGCTAGGAAGAAGGAAGGAAGTCTGACTCCGATTCCCTGGCCTCAGACCATGTGGAGGTAGCTATTCTGCCTGGGCAGCTCAGCCAGGCTCCCTGGAGGCTGCTGAACTCCATTTGTGTATTCTGCCTGTGCAGCTCAGCAGGGCTCCCTGGAGGCTGCTGAACTCCATTTGCGTTCGCATCTGAGAATAAAGCCAAATCAGGTAACTTTTGAAGACTAGCTCTCTACCGGACAGAGGAGCTTCAATTAAGCCACAGAACTGCAACTCTCCGCGGACCAGCTGATCTTCGGGAGAGAGTCGCGGAGTTTAAAGGCTCTCCACAGACCAGCTGATCCTTGAGTGATTCGGCTAGTTTCGGAAGAAAAGCCTGCGAGTGCTGTTAGACCTCCGTGGCTCACAGGCTGCCGTAGGAACCGCGGGAGGTTTAAATTTACCTGCGGATCAGCTGGCTAGTGGGAAGCTCTCCTCTTGTGGCTGGAAATTCCTGTGGGAGGGGTGAAATGGAAGGAGAAGGAGTCACACTTGGTGACCGGAAAATGACATCTGCTCTTTGTCTGTTCGGCTACCGGCCGGACGCAAGCCAACCTCGCGGTTGTGCTGCGATTAGCCAATCAGGCAGCAAAAAGGGAAAAGGAAAGCGAACAGCCGTTTGTTTTCTAGCGACCCCCCCCCTTCAAATTAGTCAGAACAACAAGAAATATCAAGAGATACGACCTTATCTTCAGGAGTCAATGAAATTCAGTCTAATCGGGCTCAAGACTAGTTGAGACTGGGGAGGGGAGGTCTCAAGAGGAGAGGCGGAGCAAAATTGGCTGACTAGTCTATGGGTAGAAGATGAGGAAAACCCATTGGTGGATTCTCCACTCGTCATGCTGGAGAATAAAGCCATCTTCTCTCTTGGACAATGCATTTATATGTAATTCTGCTTACACCTGTATAATAATTTCCTAAACAGCCTTTCACTTGCAAAAACGAGCAGTTCATGTGTATAGTCCCATTATAACTCATGCTTTTCTTATATCTGGGTTTGGAAAGGTTATGCTACTTGGGAATTATGGGAGCTGAGGTCAAATACATTTGGAGTACTGTTGTAGAAGACTGATATAAATGCATTGAAGTCAGGCCAATGATAACTGAGATAATACTTAAATAAATAAATAGTATGAAATCACAACTCTGATTTGGATAGTATTATAAGAATTAGCTTGTCCTCATATCCCTTCATGACATGATGTGTACTTTCACAAATCAACTCTATTTCTAAGACAGTGGTTCTTAACCTGTGGGTCAGGACCCCATTTGGGGTCGAACGACCATTTCACGGGGGTCGCCAAACAACGCAGTCCGCCATTTTTTCCCCTTTTCCTTAGCTGCGCTACTCCCTTTTATTCTATTGGCTTTTGAAAGCCAATAGAATAGACTCTCTTGAATAGAGTCTAATTCTATTGGCTTTCAAAAACCAATAGGAATTGTCCAGGCTGTCT